GGGCTGTATAGTGGGACTTCGGGAAGCTGGACTTTCTTTTCGGGCAATTGCAGTTAGACTGCAAAGAAGTGTAGACACTGTGGTTAGGTGTTGTCAGGCATGGCTTCGAGAAGGCTGTACGCAAAGAGCAAGGGGCACTGGACGCCGCCGTAGAACAACAAGACCGTGAAGATCGCCGCCTAAGATTATTGGCCTTAAGGACCGTTTCTCCACTACCAGGTCCACTGCAAATGAATGGTTTGCAGAACACGGAAGACCTATTGGCATGCGGCGAAGTGTTTACCGACGAATGAGAAGTTTGGCTTGTTTTCATACCGGCCACACTGGGTCCTCCCTTTAACTCGAGAACACCGACGTGGTGCAGACGAAGGTCACTCTGGGATCAGGAATGGAACAGTATTGTCTTTAGTGACGAGTCTCGATTTTGTTTAGGCATGCACGATGGTCGTGCCAGGGTTAGAAGGCGACGTGGTGAAAGGAGGAATCCACAGTTTTTTGTTGAATGACATGTCATCACACTGTTGGAGTTATGGTTTGGGGTGCTAGAGTTATGGTTCCAGGTTACCTTTATCTTCATCAGAGGTAACATGAACGCGCAGCGTTATATCCACGAAGTTCTAGAACCCCATCTTTACCCTATCTTGACACCCTGGCAGATCCAACTTTCCAACAAGATAATGCCCGACCACATGTTGCAAGAGTCACAATAGACTTCTTTCAACATTGTTACTATGGCCACCAAGATCTCCCGACTTATCCCCAATTGAGCACGTGTGGGATATGATGGTAGGAGATTGCTCAATTTGCAACGTCCTCCTCCGACTCTAGAAGCACTTCGAGAGGAGTTGGTGGTTGCCTGGAATGAGATACCTCAGGAGGACATTGACCACCTGATCAGAAGCATGCCTAGGCGCGTTGGAGAATGCGTAGCACATCAGGGTGCATCCACACATTATTAAGGTCAAAGGGCTTTAAAGCAGTGCAATCATTTTGAAATTTTTATCATTTACTTATTATGCTTCTTTAAGTAATTGTACAAAATTTTATTAAAATAAAACCATTTAAACTGGGTGTTCGGATTTATATGTCACTTAGTATAGTTGACATTTGGAAAGATAAGAGAAGAATTTGAAAGGAACGTTGACAGTCGCTTTGCGCTGTCGGGCATATTTTTCAGTAATCCCTGCAATTTGTGCGTTTGAGACACAACACAAAGAAAAAACTAGCAAATATTTGCAAGTTTTGTAGGATTTTTAGAGTTTAGTGCGCGACAGAAACCAACCAAAATGAAAAATATTGACTCATTTAACGAGCAGAACCAAAATTAATTAAAAACGCTTAAGTTATATTTTCTACACTAGAAAAACATTAATGTAGAAACATTAGATAAACATTTGATGAATTTTATAAATCTGTGGAAATTAGCTGGAAATTTGTCATACACATAAGAAGTTTCTTATAAAGGAAAATGAGGGTTGGTTAAACCAAGCATTTCCGCCTTCCAAGAAAACCGTTGTTACTTCTGAGCAAGAATCAACAACACTTATGAAGAACTTCAGAGCCTTGGTAAAAGGGGTAAACAATTGAGGATTCGTTCATTAGTTTCTAGTCATTCAAGAAGTGAAAGATAATTGATTGTTTCCTTTTTCTGAGATCTGTAATATTTTAAGCATTTCTCTTTTTGGTGGTCGATTTTGAACTGTGCCTTTTAAATGTAGGTACTTTTTTACTAGTTCGTGTCAATGGGTTTTAGGTCGGGTTGGAAACAGCATAAGCGGACACTCTACCTTTTCGTCACTATTCCTGTTAAGCCAATTATTTTGTAACCATGTGACGGATAAAGGCCATTGATTGTTATTAAACAACATTTGCGGCGGATACCAGTTTACGCAAAGACAGAAATAACATGGAGGCTTTTTATTGCAAAAAATTACTTCTTGTCCATTAAAGGCAAAAAGCTGTTTGAAGTAATACGTTAAGGAATGTTTATGAATTAAAAAAATGATTTTTATTTTCTAACTTTACCACGCTGTATGTCGGAATCGGAGCAATTGTGGTAAGTTACTTCAAATCGGCTTATTTTGATTTCGGGAATATGTGTTAAAATTTGTAAAGACCATTAGGTATAGTGCTTCCATCTTCGATTCTTGACTTTTGTCAATTTTTTGGTGTAATTTTTTAAAGAGGATTTCTTTAGCTTTTTAATGAGGTATGGCTCATAAAAATCGGTTTACCAGTAACAAAATTAGAAATCTTGTGACTTTTTTCATGGAAATGGTACCCTCTGAACCACTGTGCTAAGGATGACAGAAGAACATGTTTCTTCTTTGTTGGTTTCTTGCTTTAAGAACGCAATAGTGTCAGCTAATATGTCAGGAAAATCTTTCAAGTTTGTATGTTGTTTTCATTGTTAGACAGAGATAGAGAGGGAAATTAGTTTTGAAGGCAGCATCTTTCATCGCTCATTTGCTCATTTTACAAGCCTACTTAATTACGAAATTGATTAACTAATTCTTGACATTTGTCAATCTTTTATGTAATTTTTAAAGAGAATGTCTTTAGCTTTTTAATGAGGTATGGCCCATAAAAATCGGTTTACCAGTAACAAAATTAGAAATCTTGTGACTTTTTTCATGGAAATGGTACCCTCTGAACCACTGTGCAAAGGATGACAGAAAAACATATTTTTTCTTTGTTGATTTCTAGCTTTAAGAACGGCAATAGTGTCATCTAATATGTCAGGAAAATCATTCAAGTTTGTATGTTGATTTCATTGAGAGACAGAGATAGAGAGGGAAATTAGTTTTCATCGCTCATTTTTCAAGACTACTTAATTACGAAATTGATTAACTTTCAAAACCATATTAGCACTCTGAGAAATTCATAAAATCATGCATCTGCATAAACTGACTTATATTCGTTAGGAATTACTTTTTTGTCTGTGGCATAGAATTGCAACCTTGAGCCATTATTTAGACAAGACAGTAGTTTTGAGTGGCTTGTGGTCTTTTAAGCCGTATCAAATCCATAATTTTTGGACACTTTAATTAGCATGAAGCTACTGGAGAATTTAAAAAACAATTTTGCAAATTTCGCTTTTAGCTATTGGCGTCGAAGGGTAAAACTAAATATACTTGCTACATCTCATTTTTAACTTTCTATATTCACGAATCAGTCCAAACATCGAACCTTAATTTCCTCGTTTATTTATTGATTCAATTTGGCTGTTCTTTACTGCACTTTACGTATGGTGGTACCGGGACACAAATAAAATAATGTTTATTTTGTATTTGTACATACGCGAAGCGCTAGAAACCGTTCGTTCAATGTTCAAGCTCACCTGTAGAAGCAGCGACATACTAGTGCACATATTAAACACTCCACAAGACAAAATGAAAGATATTCCCAGCCCACATAGGCTCTGCACCTTTTTGAAGAACCTTAAAAATGGATATAGGAAATACAACTATTGTCATAGTAACAAAGCCGTAGGACAATAATATTCACCCGCAATTATTCTTCACATTAATGGAGAAATAGAATCAAGTCCGACAGAGGAAAACTTGAAAAAGAGGAAAGCGCCCTGAAATCCAATCCCTTCCCCAAAACAAGCCTTTGGTGTTATTAGCTCTGTACTCCCTGGAGCTCCATTATGAACAAGTACAAATAGTATACTAAGTGACATATAAATCCGAACACCCAGTTTAAATGGTTTTATTTTGATAAAAGTTGGTGAATGTATTTATCTTACTGTAAATAACAAGTGAAAAAATTTTCAGCCTTATCAGTTCGACATTCCGGTTTTTATACTGCTTTTTTTTAATTCACTAACGCTCTAAAAATGAATATTTCAGCCGCAGTAAAGAATCAACGTTGGCGGATTTTGGTTCTTGACATCCTTTACGATCGGTTACGATGCCTAGAGTACGGAGACCTGTACGATTTCGTCAACTTAGCGAGTTTGATAGGGGTCGTATAGTGGGACTTCAGGAAGCTGGACTTTCTTTTCGGGCAATTGCAGTTAGAGTGCAAAGAAGTGTAGACATTGTGGTTAGGTGTTGTCAGGCATGGCTTCGAGAAGGCCGTACGCAAAGAGCAAGGGGCACTGGACGCCGCCGTAGAACAACAGACCGTGAAGATCGCCGCCTAAGATTATTGGCCTTAAAGGACCGTTTCTCCACGACCAGGTCCATTGCAGATGAATGGTTTGCAGAACACGGAAGACCTATTGGCATGCTAAGTGTTTACCGACGAATGAGAAGTTTTGGCTTGTTTTCATACCGGCCACACTGGGTCCTCCCTTTAACTCGAGAACACCAACGTAATCGCCTTGAGTGGTGCAGACAACGGTCACTCCGGGATCAGGAATGGAACAGTATTGTCTTTAGTGACGAGTCTCGATTTTGTTTAGGCATGCACGATGGTCGTGCCAGGGTTAGAAGGCGACGTGGTGAAAGGAGGAATCCACAGTTTTTTGTTGAAAGACATGTTCATCACACTGTTGGAGTTATGGTTTGGGGTGCTATAGCTTATGGTTCCAGGTCACCTTTAATCTTCATCAGAGGTAACATGAACGCGCAGCGTTATATCCACGAAGTTCTAGAACCCCATTTTTTACCCTATCTTGACACCCTGGCAGATCCAACTTTCCAACAAGATAATGCCCGACAACATGTTGCAAGAGTCACAATAGACTTTTTTCAACATAATGATGTCACATTGTTACCATGGCCACCAAGATCTCCCGACTTATCCCTAATTGAGCACGTGTGGGATATGATGGGTAGGAGATTGTTCAATTTGCAACGTCCTCCTCAGACTCTAGAAGCACTTTGAGAGGAGTTGGTGGTTGCCTGGAATGAGATAACACAGGAGGACATTGACCACCTAATCAGAAGCATGTCTAGGCGCGTTGGAGAATGCGTAGCACATCAGGGTTGAAATTTTTATCATTTACTTATTATGCTTCATTAAGTACTTATACAAGATTTTATTGAAATAAAACCATTTAAACTGGGTGTTCGGATTTATATGTCACTTAGTATATGTATTTTGTTGAAAGTTTCAGTGCGTAGTACTGAAATTTTTATTATTACAGATATTTATAATACTATTTTCTTAGATGTCAACATCCTAGACTCGTCTTTCGAATGAAGTTGGTTCATTTAGTTTCAAATTGTATCGCATCTGCTTTTACTCGCGGAAACTGGGCTCTTTTCCTGGCTCATGTCTAACGCGATCCGTTTGCTGAGAATGCTTTTGTTCTAAGGGCAAGTGTACGGGGAAATTTATGATGTGTGAAAATAAATAGGTGCGTGGAATTACTAAAGTTGGAAGCGTATAAATATGTTAACATTAAACAATTGAATAATACCCTCCCCACCCACCTAAAACCCCCACATTTTTTACCCGTGATTTTTCCAAAATGATCTGGAGCCTCTAAAACATCAAAAAAGGTGATCAACCTATTTTTAGGTGAACCGTTTTTGGCCTTTTTCTCCGTGGACACTAGACCGACTTCCAAAATCTAAAAACCTCATTCGTCCAAAGCATAGTAGTAACCTTGTATGAAAATTTCAAAACCGATCAGTACTTTACAAGTTATAAGCGGTTCAAGTACTAGCGGGCAGACTCACAGACGGACGAACGGAAATGAGTGACATGACATTAAAAAAAAACATAATATCGCACTTCTATCGAAATCTTTCGCGGTCACAATACTTCCTGGGTTGCTGAACAAGTAAATTATATCATCAATCCTAACACTTTTTTTCCTGCCTTCGAATGAGTAAAGTTATGGTACGTTTCCATTTCCAACTTCGAGCCGCAAAATGAAAGCAGCCTGCAACCTGTTACGGCACAAGTGCCAGGAAGGTGTGCTTTCATTTAGACAAGTTGCAGCCTATATGCCGGCACATGTGCAACTTGTTAGATTGAAAACATACCTTTACCACATATTACATAATATATACATGCGGCCTATTTAATAACTATACTATACCATTGGACCATGGAAGCCTGCTGAAATTTTCTTTCAAGAGGCGCAAATGAAAATGTATGATTGTATTCCCGAAATAATTTACCTTTTCATATTAATTATGCTAAGTAAAACTGCCTTTGATAATTTCTCGTAAAATAATTGTTTGAATAAGTGACAGTGACAGTGACGGAAATCTTACTGAATACTGTGCAGCGATAGGGCGCAGGATGCAGGGTCGTTACTGACAGTTGACGTAACATACTTAATAATCAAATCCAAGCGAACAACCAAAATTTTTGTGGCATGTACCGCGGTTATAATATAGTTTAAGATGACGCTCGTGTTGATGACGTCAGTTACTCAAATCGCTTGAACGCGTTGGTTTTAACCGCGGTTTTGTTGCAGGTGGTTTATTTTAGAAAAGCGCGTATATAATTTCTGATTATTTTTATTATCACTTAATAATCGGTGCTTTTTGGTCTACAACAGTGCATCGAAAGTTTAAAAAGAAAGCTTTTATAATGTTAATGTGAGAAATGTTTCTTTTTTTAGAAAATAATTTTTAATGATAGAACCATGGTTTTGTAGCTATGATAGCACTCAATTCTCTAAACTTTTCCGCATTTGAAAAAAAACATTTATTGATTTAGCAGAAATGATAGGAATATGTGACGAAAAAATATATTAGTAAAACCGTATATATTTATATGGCCATATTTGAATATTGTTGTGGTATATGGCTACACAGGATACTTTGTTAGACATAGGAAGATTTAAAGTGTCCCCAACAACAGTAATGAGTATAGCTCTAACTTTATGTTACAGCTGAGGTGGTTCTGGATCAAGTTTCTCAAAAATGAAGCTGAAGTAAAACAAAAATATCCAAGGCCCGGCAAAATTCTAACTTGTCACATTTCAAATAATAACCAGAAATGTAAAACTACTCCTGAGTTGGGTAAATACCACAATTTTGCGGTGATAACTATGACACATAACAGCTGATTCATGACGTCACGGATCTAATAACCAAACTGATAATCACACTCGCTTGAACGAATCAGTAAATACCAATCCAAAATGGTAAATACCATTTTCATTTGGTTATTCGCTTGAATTTGATTATTGATCTTTTTCATCCTAACAAGGCGCATGTGACATTACAACGTACAGTAGAATTCATACCACAACACGTGGCAGGATGTTTCCATTTCAACCTTTGCTACTGCTCCGATGCTACCAGTCAATATTCTTGTAAAGGAATATAGTATAAAAATATCGAGTCGATTTACTAAAATTTCCGGCCATACAATTACTTTGACTTATGATTGTGAATAAATAACTTACAGTAAAACCTGGGCATGCCGTTCGATACACCGTTTTAACCCATCACTGTCAGTGGTGTACTGCAAGGTCTCTTCTATTAGACGTAGTTGAATTATAACCTCTATCATCAGACTGGTAAGTAAAGTGGCATATACAGTGGCCATGTTCGCACTGTAGGTGCACATAACTGCCTGAATTCAAATATCAAATAGTAAATGGTAGTATAAGAAAGAAGAGAGTAATAAGCCCGTCTAGTAAGAGCCTATACCCCCCTATACGGGCGATTTTACGCGACGGTTTGCACGTCCTAATCGAAAGCGTGTTGGGCGCATATACAGGGTGTTCCATAATTATTGCGACAAAATGATAGGGGTTGTAGAGGGCACAAAAATATGCAATTTTGCCTTATAAACCCCTATTCGTAAATATGCCGTTTGAGCACTACCGCTAATTTTACATTTATCTTCCAAAATTATATTTGAATTACTTGATATTATGGCAGAAACGTCATCAGCATATGCTGTAAAATAGGTATCTGGATGAACATTATCAAACTGATTAATGTATAAGAGGAAAAAGATTGGTCCAAGAATAGAGCCCTGAGGGACTCCAATCGAGATGTCTAACGTACTTGACACAAAGTTTTTCATATTGTTCCCTGCATCAAGATATTCTACTGAAACATATTGTTTTCTTTCGACTAAAAACGATCTGGCCCATTTAAGAGACTGACAAAACCATATTTAACAATAATCTCCAAGAATTTCTTGTGATCGACGCAGTCGAATGCCCTACTGAGATCACAAATTACCCCAGTAGGGCACTCGCCCGCGTCGATGTATTCTATAAGCTTCTCATAAAAGGAATGTATGGCTGACATTGTGGTCTTACCATCTGTGAAACCATGCCGGTTTTGAGACAAAATATTGTTGTTCTTAAGATGTAGAAGGAGTCTATCCAAATAGGCATATTCAACCACTTTAGAAAGTACAGACGGCACAGTGATTGCCCTGTAGTTTGCAATATCAAGCTCGTTCCCCTTTTTTAAAATTGGTATAACTTTGCCTAGTTTCAGCCTACTTGGGAACTCTCCGCAGCAATATAAGATATTTATAAGGTGTGTTATTGGTTTTATTATAAGATGTAGTACTTCTTTTACCAGAAAATTGGGAATGTCATTAAAACCGCAGGATTTGGAATTTTTAACTTTTTCAAAAGTAAGTTACTGAGCTCATTATCTGTATAAGGATAAAGTTTGAAATAATTTTTGACATTAAATTTGAAATCAGGTGCACTATCTGAGGTATTAATTTTTTGTATTATATCATCTGGAGCATTTTTAAAAACAATCATTGAACATATTTGCTAACAGCTGAGGGTCGTACACTTTTTCATTTTGATCTTTATGTAGAACTATATTTTTTCGAACTTTGTTCTCATTTTTGCTGCATTGACCACTTGCCAGCATGCTTTGGTGGTATTTTTAGACAATACAATTTTGTTTTGGTAGAATGATCTTTTTGTGTCTCTGATCAATTTTTTATGTGCCTTTTTAGCATCATTATACAGTGACTTTAGTCTTGGATTTATTTGTGAAGTATGATATAAATACTGGTACTGGTAGTATAATATTCATTTCAAAAAATTGAACGTTTGCGCTAGGCTCACGGAATTCCGAACTAGAATTCCTGATTAGGAAACCGTATACGGAAAACGAATGCGCCCAGCCTTATCCGTTCCGTTTTGACGAAAGCGCGGGCTTGCTTCCGAAACGTACGTACGGAATGTACTGAAAAAAAAACGAACGTGTGCGGCAGTCAATGTATTTTATTAGCGTCTGATGCATTCGGGTCTCCGAATACGGAAAACGAATTTGGAAATCGAGCGCGGAAAACGAATGTATACGCCGAACCCTAATCGAAAACGACCGAAAATAGTCGAACGGTAAATACGTCGCGTTGTCTTTATTTCCGTCGGCGGTGGGCGTATTGCACGCTTACGAATGCGTTGATATCGTCGCCGTCACAACGCAACAGGTTGTTTAGTACGGAGTAAACTGGGCGAGGCGACGGGTCTCCGTTGAAGGTACAGTCTCTAACAGCAGCGCAACCTAATAGAAGGGGGTCCAACGTATGCGTGATTGCCAAAAGCAAGGACTGCGTACAGAGCCGCATTCAGAGCTACCTCCGAATCATGGACTACCACCAACGTGTTGTAAAACAAAGATGACAGTATTTAACAGAAACTTAACAAATTACTCAAATACACTTAACAAAAACAACAGCAACAACCAAGCAAGGTGAATACGAAAACACGAGCACGCAGTGATACACGCGACGGACGGTGGCCTGAGTGCAACTCTGCCTGCGCTACCCCTGCCCCGCGCATCATTCCGACAGGCGACCGCTTGAAATTTAATGGGGAATTGACCAATAAGAGGCGTTGTCCCCACCTGTTACCGAGAGATCACGCGCTAACTGTTATTATTTACATCTCATCTGGAATTTGGATTCAGTTTATACCATAACTATCTAAAGCTGTAAAGACTCATAGACCGGGAGGGCATCTGTGATACTAAAGAAAGCCGTAAAAAATCATTTAGTCTTCCGACCCCTACTGGACAGAAAATTCAATCTTCCCCTGTACTTACATGTACCGCTCTCAAGCGACGGCATAGTGCTAGAAGTTATTTTTTCATGTAATACTATCGTTCTGGGTAGGTTTCCTGCTGTATCACATGACCCCCCCCCCATTTTTGCATCTCCCGGTCTATGTGCATCTTCTTCCTGTACCTTGGAAGATGCTAGGATTACTTTAAATCAAAGGGTAATAAGTTGATTACGCTTCCTCATTAAAATGCAAAAGCAGATCAATGTGAGTCATATTGTATTTTGCAAACAGATCATGCTTTCTAATCTAGAGGGATTGTTTCAAACGTACCTGATATACGAAAAACACCTTCCAGTGCACCATAGAAGGCTTATGAGCTGCTAGAATCAATTTTTCTCCCTTGACTATTGCCAAGACGATTATGACTATGTTATTAAACAAATTGTTGCCAAAAAATAACATTTGAAGCATACGGGCCACCCCTTTCCATTTTCTAGCAGATGCAGCCTGAGACTGTGACTTAGGCTGGAACATCGCGGACTGCAATGTTGACTGGATGTAATGTATACTCTGAAAGATTCAATTATTTGGGTAACTTTTCATACACACACACAATTATGTCCACCAATAAAGGAGGCTCTACAGAATTACGCCGGCAGAGAAGATCTGTTGGGAGATGCCTTACGTCCGTCGGATATTAATGGGTGTTTCTCTACTAACTGGAAGGTTTCCCAAACAAGACTGTCCCAACCATATCATTCTTATAACGGGTGATTTTTTAAGAGGTATAAGATTTGATGTTCAAAAAAACACAAAAAATTTGAAAAAAATTATTAAATCTTTATTTGAGTCGATAGAACGGTCGTTATAATTTAATGTTTAAAGATTATTTCATGTAAATGTTGGCCGCGGCTCCGCTTTACATGGCCCATGCGCAAGGTCCAATTTTGGCACACTCTCTCCAACATATCGGCCGGTATCTCACGAACAAATGCTTCAATATTGGCTTCCAGTGCATCAATCGTTGCTGGTTTATCCCTGTAGACATTAGCCTTAACATGGCCCCACAAGAAATAGTCCAACTGTGTTAAATCACAGGATCTAGGCGGCCAACTGACGGGCCCCAAACGTGAGATAAACTGTTAACCGAACTCGCCTCTCAATAGGGCCATTGTTTCGTGTGCGGTGTGGCATGTGGCACCGTCTTGTTGATACCACATGTCAGCCAAGTCCAGCTCTTCCATTTTGGACAAAAAAAAGTTTGTTATCATCGCACGGTAGCGCTCGCCATTCACAGTTACGTTCCGGCCATTGTCGTCTTTGAAGAAGTACGGCCCGATGACGCCACCGGCTCATAATCCACACCAAACAGTGATTTTTCCGGATGCATTGGTAGCTCTTGCAATGCTTCTGGCTGATCTTCACTCCAGATGCGGCAATTTTGCTTGTTAACGTACCCATTCAACCAGAAATGAGCTTCGTCGCAGAACACAATTTTTCGATAAAAATGTGGATCTTCCTCCAACTTTGCTAGCGCCCATTCACCAAATTGGAAACGTTGTGGGAGGTCGTGTGGCTTTAATTCTTGCATCAGCTGTATCTTATAAGGTTTTACACCCAAATCCTGTCGCAAAATTTTCCACGTAGTGGAGTAACAGAGGCCCAATTGCTGCGAACGGCGGCGAATCGACATTTCACGGTCATCACTAACACTGGCGGATACAGCCGCAATATTTTCTTCAGTCCTCACTCTACGTTAATGTCCAATAATGTAAACTGGGTTGGAAATTTAGTCACAAGCTTCCGAATAGCTCCCTCAGTAGGCCGACCAAATTGCCCTTAAATTGGAAGCAGTGCTCGATGCACTCTCTTAACCGAGCGTGAACTTTGATAGTAAAATTCAATAATTTGCAAGCGTTGTTCGTTCGTAAGTCGACTCATGGTTAAATTATAGGCTAAACTGAACAAGTTTGACAGTGACACAAGACACGATTCACGCGTAATCTGTCTAAAACAGTGTTGCCAAAAAGATACTAGCAAAAAAATCACCCATTAAATTAAGAAAATATATAGATAAATCAAGAGATACTAATTAAAGTAATATGCCGGTTCAAAAGCCCACATACAATGCTATTTGTTTTCGAATTATGGAAGAATTTATAAAAAATGACGACAGAGGACTGTTATCTCATCCAGGGGAACGTTTATATGGGAGAAAAAAAAAAGTGTTGTTTTGATTGAATGTAAGCAATCGAACTCTTTGTTTTTATTTATTTTAACTATACTAAAATAAAGTTTGGATATTTATGAAAAAACAATTTCTAAAATTAATTTTCTTAATACTATACAGCTTCTGAGCTAAGAAGCTTTATCTAACTTAACTAGTAACTCTCACAGCTTACAACAAATCAGTCTTACTATTGCACTTTAAGTAAATATCAATCTATTTTTAAAACACTAGTACAGCTACTGGAATGTAATAAAACAATATTTTCCCTTTTGGAGTTAGATCTGGGTTTGGTAACTTTTCCACTATTTAATCCAAAGGAACATCAGAAACATCGCTTTCGTCAAATCTAAGCGTATG